CACAGCCCAGCCTCTGTCCAGCACTGCCTCACAGGAGTCAGCACACAGCCCAGCCTCTGTCCAGCACTGCCTCACACTGCCTCACAGGAGCCAGCACACAGCCCAGCCTCTGTGCAGCACTGCCTCACAGGAGTCAGCACACAGCCCAGCCTCTGTGCAGCACTGCCTCACAGGAGTCAGCACACAGCCCAGCCTCTGTCCAGCAGTGCCTCAGCTGTCAGTATTCCAGTGTTCTCTCACAGGCCAGTCAGACGGGGGTGGGGGTCCCCACCTCCATTGCCTGGGTTTAGCCTCATGAATGCGCATGAACAGGCCGGACAGCTGCAGGAAGCCGCTGAGCTCTGTGGACGCGCTGGTGGACGTGCGCTGGGCTGGCACAGGGGGCTGTGTGCTGGGAGGAAGGAGGCTGGGAACCGAGCGCAGGAAAGGCAGTGAGCCGAGTGAAACAGCTCTTCGTCTGAAACTCTGAAACCCCAAAAATATCCTTAGCAATCCCCCCCAGAACAGACGTGCAGAGCGCTGTGGAGTGTGTGCTGGAGGCTGCTGGGCCTGCTCTCTGCCCCGTGCGCCCGGTGTGGACATGTCTGTGTGGGGCTCTGTGCTGACTCACGCCCACACGTGTCTCTGTGTGTGAGCGGGGCTCCTGGTCCGCCCCGTCTCAGTGGTCTCTCCCACCGCTCCTCTCAGCTCATTAATCTGCAGCAAAGAGAACGGATCGACCCATGTGTGTCCCGGGGGGGGGCTTTGATGTGGATTCATTAACACAGCCAGCTGATGCGCTGATCCTCACCTTCATCTGCTCCGCTGAGACCCGCGCTCTCACGCACACACGATCCCGCGCCAGGCCAGAGCCCCGTTCACCTGCTCTCGGTCCTGGGACTGGCACTTGTTGAGTGACTCCGAGGCGGAGAAGTCACTGGCCTGAGGTCAGGCAGATGCTCTGGGCAGCCGCTGTCCCTGCTGGGCTGGAGTACTAACCCACTGGCCCCTCTCTCCCAGGATGACAACTCGATGTTCTTCCAGTTCGGCCCGTCCATCGAGCAGCAGGCCACGGTGATGCTGAACATCATGGAGGAGTACGACTGGTACATCTTCTCCATCGTCACCACCTACTACCCAGGCTACCAGGACTTCGTCAACAAGGTACCAGAACACAGAGAGAGAGGGATCACTGCTCCCACCTTCACACTGCATAGCCTGGGGATTCTCATCCCCATCATCCTTCCCTGTCTTCATGTCCATCATTCTCCCGTGTCCTCATGTCCATCATCCTCTCGTGTCCTCGAGTCCATCATCTTCTCATGTCCTCATGTCCATCATCTTCTCATGTCCTCATGTCCATCATCCTCCCCTGTCCTCATGTCCATCATCTTCTCGTGTCCTCATGTCCATCATCCTCCCGTGTCCTCATGTCCATCATCCTCCCGTGTCCTCATGTCCATCATCTTCTCATGTCACTGTCTCACCCCGTCTCACCCTCTCCCGCCGTGCCAGAGTGCCAGCATGCTCTCAGTCCTGGAACTGGCACTTGTTGAGTGGCAGCATGGCAGCAGGTGTCCTCAGCTCTCACCCCGTGTCTCTGCCGCCCCCTCCCGGCCGCAGGTCCGCAGCACCATCGAGAACAGCTTCGTGGGCTGGGAGCTGGAGGAGGTGCTGCTGCTGGACATGTCCCTGGACGACGGGGACTCCAAGATCCAGAACCAGCTGAAGAAGCTGCAGAGCCCCGTCATCCTGCTGTACTGCACCAAGGAGGAGGCCACCTACATCTTCGCCGTGGCGCACTCCGTGGGCCTCACGGGCTACGGCTACACCTGGATCGTGCCCTCGCTGGTCACGGGGGACGCCGACAACGTCCCCGCGGAGTTCCCCACCGGCCTGATCTCCGTGTCCTACGACGAGTGGGACTACGGGCTGGAGGCCCGCGTGCGCGACGGCGTGGCGGTGATCGCCACGGCGACCTCCACCATGCTGCTGGACCGTGGGCCGAACACGCTGCTGAAGGCTGAGTGCCACGGCACGCCGGACAAGAAGGGCAGCGGGGGGGCAGCGGGGGCGGCGGGGAACCCCAACGAGCTGCTGCGGTAAGGAGTGGGGTCACTGAGCGCGGGGTCACAGAGTTCATACTGCACACTGTGGTACTGTGCTCATACTGCACACTGCGGTACTGTGCTCATAC